CTCAAGAGTTAACGAGCAGCACGAGAGACGATCAGAGAGCAGAGAGAGCGACGAGACAGAAGAGACGAAAAGATAAGAGAGAAAGAAAGAAGAGAAGAGAGAAAGCAAAAGAGAAAGAATGAGAGAAGAGAGAGACTGACTCGAGATCACGAGGAGAGTAGAGAGAAGAGAGAGAAGATGAGAGAAGAGAGAAGAGAGATGAGACAAGAGAGCCGCAGAGTAACGAGCAATAAATGAAGCAGAGATGGCACGTAGATCAGAGAGGAGAGAGAGCCGACAAAAATGAGAGACACGACTGAGTCTGACTGAGAGAGACGCGAGAACGAGAGAGAGACGACAAAACGAGGAGATCCGAGACGAGAGACGAGAGAACGAGAGAGAGAGAGAGAGAAAGTAGAGAGTAGAGAGTAGAGAGTAGAGAACGTTTTCCTTTACGCAAAGGCGAGGAAGACCGGTGGAGAGGAATAATTCGTGAACACACCGGAGGGAAGTCTTAAACTCGCCCAGGTTGATGTGCTCTATGAATGGTTGGACGGTGGACGCAGAAACCACCAGCGCTATCTTCCGTTATTGTGACATGAAGGCAGGATGCTCACTCCCTCCGAGGTGATCGAGCTCCTAGAACATGTTTAAAGAATCAGGTAAGTTAAGTAGTGAGGTTAGATAACCCGGGTTGCCAAACCCACTTGCGATCCCTAAATATACCAACCAATTTCCCTGCTGGTGTATAGAGTTACGGCTTGTGAAGATCATAAGCATGCATGAGATATTCCTGTCTACTATTGGCAAATTGACTTGCTTGCATAGACCTCGCAGTGTCCTTCACTGCTGGTGATGTTACCTTATTGTATTTATAATTATTAGATGTAAGGAATTTTATGCACTTTACTCCTAATATTACGTCGATGAACAGAGTTGGGAAATACATACGAGGAAAGCGGGAGAAAAATTGAATGTATTGATATCGCTGAAGGTCGGTTTTGTCCGCCCTCAAGGGTTTTGCTTGAACGCATGCGCAGACTCGGCCAGCCACTTAACAATTAATCTAATAGTTCTTTGCGTAATACACTATTTCACTCTAAAATGTCGAGTGAAGTTCTCAATAATGATGAATCAGACTCTTACCAATTTGCTTAATATGAGATGACCTTAGATGTAACACATACGTTTGAATCAACAATTTGATGCGTTGCCAATTGTTGAAGGTTATTATATATTTTCTACTGTGCAGATCATCTTACATAATTACAAAGTAATTTCGTACCATAATGCCATCAGTTAGTACAGTCTATATATCCATTAACCTTTTCCATTTCTCAATAAGCTTACCTTTCCTCCCGTACACGTGACACGCTGACGATAGCAAAGTCTGAGCTCCACCCCTGAGAAAGCCGTTTTCTGTAATGCCTAACAACACATCCTATTCTCCCTCAATACTTGAACATTATGTCTGATCTAGAATCGTGGCGTATCTATAGGCCGTAAGTCTCAAAGCCTAAACGATTGAATGAGTTATCAGGGGGAATAGCTGTTGTGAGCACAGGGTTTCCCGTGAGAGCGTAGTGGTGGTTGGGTTGGGGTGGAATGGTGGTGCGGCGCTGTTGCCACCTCCACACCTCACCAGGATTCTCAACTCCTCCCATTGTTCTGCCTCGCTTATTGCACAATCTTTATTCACAGACTCCCGTCCCTTGTCGCAGGGAAGGGCGGAGGGAGGACCTACGAGGGCGTCAAACAGGACAGGGGAAAAGCAACACATCCCTCTCCTGTATCACGTGGAGTTTGCAATAGGGGCCTATCCCCGACACGGCCCTGCAATGTGCCGGGGTCTAGAATTCTCCAACTTCAAATGGGTTCATGTAGCCAAAAAGGATCCTCCCTTCCCTTACCCGTCATAACCAAGGTTCCAGGACAATGATATAATTAAGGTACTATTTACTTTTATTATTTTTAAATAAATCATACCATAGTAATAATGCCAGGTACTGTTTTTTTTCCATCCATGTGGTTGATAAAGAAACTCAGGTTAGTAAAACTATTTTCAGTTTTATTATAAACGTGTGTGGTGACAGTCACGAGGTTTGGGTCTCGTCATGTAGGCGCGGACGATGTTATTCGTCCGGTCGCACTACCTCGGCGGATGAGAACACAGAATGAGACAGCACATATACAGACAACTTAAGCTTTATTGACTTTCACACAAAATGAGACACTTGTCACTCCTATGAAATTAAAGAATGAAAATCATCATATGTTGTACTGCCCAAAAAACACATCAGTTCAAAAGAGATGCATTGTAGAAAAATAAAATAGGGAGCCCTGCTTGCTTTTGGTATCAATGGAAAATAGACACTACACGCAGTGGTGTGTTGGCGACGGTGCGCTGGTGCCGCGCCCTCTCCCTCCTGCTCCTCATGCTGCTGCTGCCTGGTCGCGCCGGGATCCCACGGCCCCACCACCCGCGTGGGCGTGCGGGCGGAGGTTCTGGTGGGCGGCAGGTGGGCGCGGGCGTCGCCGCTGCTCTAGGGTAGAGGACGCTTGAGCTCCGTGGAGCCGGGGGGGCGGGGGCGAGGGGGGCCTCTTTGCACATTCACACTCGCGCGCCACACGCTCACACTGACTGTACAGGTACGTGAAATATAATACAATAATAAAAACTGGAGCAGAGCCCATCGCCCTCGGCACCCCCGGCCGTGCGTCCTCTCCTCAGGTGGTCCCCGGCTTAGGGGTACAATGCCGGTCTTCCTTCTGCAGCTGTCTCCTTACGCATCCTCCTCCTCCTCCTCATCTTCCTCTCCCTCGCCCTCTTCGCCTTCACCTTCCTCCTCTTCTGTGAAAAAGAAAAGCCATTTAAATACATGGGAAAATTTTAAATTCAGGAAAAATCTGAATCTGAAGCTAGTAATTAGAATAGTTATTACTTGTAAGTAAATTATTGCACATTTATTTCGAGCGTTTCGGTATACAAAATATGAAAAGCCTCACCTTCCGCTTCCTCGTCTAACTCCTCCTCGGCCTCCGCCAGGTCGTCCTCGTCCTCCTCTCCCTCCAGATCCTCCTCCTCCTCTACTTCCTCCTCGCCATTCTCCTCTCCCTTCAGCTTCTTGGCGTCATCGGTGGCTTCCTGTTGGGAAAAGATAAAAGTTAGTATGGAAAATATTCATGGGTAGTTTTCCTTGAAAAGTAAAGTTAAATTTGAATCTAATGAAAGCATTTTAGTTATACAATCTAAGCACATCTTAATATACAGGATTTTAAGACATTGAGATGATAATTTGTGCAGGTCATTCATTCTATGGTAATTCAAACATCTACATCTTTATTGGTGCTTCAAATGTCTAAATGAGCTGTGTTGGCTTCGTTATGCAGTAGTCTAGCCCTACCCGTCCCTCTCCCACCCGCTATCCGCCAAGTATTTTTGTCTTAGAAGGAACAGCAGCAGCGACGACGGCAAAGCAGCAGCAACAGCGGCGGCGGCGGCAAGCGTTCCCCCCACGCCGCGTCCCGGCCGTAAGGCTCAGAATCCCGTAGCTAGCGTGCATCGCGCGGGCCCGCCGTCCGTAAGGTCGAAACTCCGCCCTGCACGCGCCAGGGAGGAACAGGGCGAGACCGGCCGGCGTTAAGGGCGACCCCCACCCCCTCCCCATCTGTCCGACCAAAGCCTCGCCAGGGTGAAAGATAGGTCGTCAACGCGAGGTGCTAGAGATAACAATCGCCTGTCGACTCTACTTCCTCTGGACGTAAGGACTGATCTCGTATACTCCAAGTCAGACCAAGCCTACAGGAAGTCCGAAAAAAAATCAATAACTGTTTACAATCATGCTTTTATTTTAATAAACTAGACGTCCCTAAATTCGTAAGTGCGCCCACTTGTACTGCCAACTCTTCCCTCACGGATCTATTACATCTAATTATCTCGCCATCACCTCAATATGCGATGCACTACTTAACGGGATTCCTACATATGACCAAAAGAAAAAATTAAAACTTGCATGCATGCACGCACGCACATTCTCGCCTGCGAAACGAGAGTTTCACTATCAACATTAACAGCATCTGGTGCAAACTAGCTTCCACCCCCCCCTGCCCCTCCCTCTGCTTGCAACTCTCCACAGTATCTTATCTAATCCTGTGCACTGAATCCCCCAACTTCGGCCCGGCGCCCGCCATCGCCCTGCCCCGACGCCAGCAGGCCAAGTCCAGCCACCAGGCCTAAGGCAGACACTCGCCCCTAAGCTATGTCAGGAACAGCAAAACGGAGCGAAAATAAGCAAACTAAATTGCATACTAGCGGAGATAAGTTTCTTCTGTCAAGATATTGGGGGGGGGGGAAGAGAAGAGAGAGAGAGAGAGAGAGAGAGAGAGAGAGAGAGAGAGAGAGAAGAGAGAGAGAGAGAGAGAGAGAGAGAGAGAGAGAGAGAGAGAGAGAGAGAGGACTGACTGTCATTACCGAGATGAACAACCGCGTGTCATCTGAAGAGAATGGGAGAATGCAACAAGTCCAAAGTAGACAGCACTAACTATCAACTGCAAGAAATTCCTCATCTACAACTACCAAAAAACTTCAATTATGTCAAACTACAACCCCTTTCCTCCTTCAACCCCTTTACAATGAACAGAACTTGATATTCCAAGAATTTTCCAACAAGTACATTTTTTTTAGCGAGAACACCAACTTGACATTTACTGATAACACGCTGAATTGCCGAAATATTACTGATTTTCATAACCGCGAATAAACAAATACTTCGAACAAAAGTAAACTACCTAACAGTAAGAAATGTCAGAACGCAAGTCTTAGGCTGACAGTGCAAACTTAGAGTAAAACATGCAAAAACCGGTGAAAAGTCGCCCTTACCCACTCGAAAACTTCTATACATGACAGTTCTCACTTAAAAACAAATCCCAAAACATACGAAGAAATTCGAAAAATAAAACGAAAATCTAAAAAATAACACTTGTAAAAATAAACTTAGTCATTTAGCCAAAACCTCTCCCGAATTTTCTCTCCCTGGCTCTCCTTGCCTTCCCCAGCCCAGTCCTTTTCGCCAGGGAGGAAATTCGGAGTAAAGTAGGAAGAAAATAAGAAGAAAATAGGACTATTGGGCCAGGAGCAAGCCCGCCCGAGACTAGCCTCGCACGGCCGCCCTCGCGCACGCACGCCCGCCAACTTTCAAAATCTCTAGCCTCGCACGGGCGGTGTTCTCTCCTCTCTCTCCCTACTTCTCTTTTTTCTCTCGTTTCCCTCCCTTATCCGCCTTCCTCTGCCCTCGCGGTTTCTAGGGCGGACGAGATTAACCCGGATTTCGGGTTGACACTTCGGGACTTGTGTTTTTCTAGAGCTTATTGGAAAAAAATTAACTAACTTCGGGTTTACTTCTTTCTAGATTTTTTCTTCTATGAAAGCTTTATCTACACCTTTTTCTATCTACTTGCACTACTGTCGCCTCTCGGGCTTCACCTGGGAGTTGTTAATGTCGCTTCCTCCACTGAATTTCGGGGAAAATAAATAAAATAAAATCTACCGGCACGAGTTAAAAAAGCCCACTCCTCTTAACTCCTTTTCTGACAAACGTACCTCAGCCGCCCTCTTGGTTCCCTTCTTGACCTCATCGTCGCCAGCGTTAGCGACAGACTTCTCCGTGGTTGACATTGTGGTTCGCTGTGGCAGCCTTACACACACACACTTCTACTTCTTGTTGTTCGCTCGGCCAAAGTCGTGGAAGGAGACGCAGACACGAGGCCGATTTCAAACCGACTGATGGCCGCGCTTCTCGCCTCCCCGTCCACGCTGATTGGCTGCCCGCCCGCCGCCGCCCGTGACGTCACCGATACCTCTTTTCTCTCTATTATAATTTTTCGAAATGTAAATTTTACATCAAATGCATCAGAAAATTGTGTAGATTACGTTAATATATAATTTTATTTATAAATAATTTGTATTAAGAATTTTGATTGGAAGAGCTTTGGGGACGAGATGCGACGTGTTCCGGTCTGCCCTTTCAGATCCAGGTGTCGGATCGACTTGTTGTGTCTGGTTGAAGGAGGTTTTAAATCGCGGTGGATCATACTAAACCAAGATGGTACGTGAGTCGTGTGGTGTTTTAAGTGTTGGACGACTCTTCGGGGTCGTTTTGCAAGGGAAAAAGTGAATGGAAGTGGAGTGATGTTTGGAAAAAGAGTATGAAATAACATGGGATGTGGAGATGTCGTAAGGTCGAAAGTTGCGTGTACGTGGGTTTGTTTACATCGAGTCAACGTGGGACAGAAGTGAGGATTACGTCTTCTATTTGACTCTTTTAAGGACTCGCAGGCGGACAAAATGGTAAAAACGAATAATTATAACTGCTATATGACTTTGCTATACATTGGGAGGTGATTAAGAGTTTCTATCGGGTTTACTTTAACAGAAACTGATGTGGAAGAGTGGCGATTCCCCGGTCAGCTGATTAGGGACAGGCCCATCATACCACATGTTTTGATGAAAAACACTTATAACTTGTTGATCTGATGTCTAGGCCTTAATTAATACCTTTAACATGAGCATTTATCATGTGCATGCTTGATAAGTTCTCATATCTTAAGTTAGGAGTCAGGATATAGCAAGTATGGAATGATTACAGGTTTGAGTCAACACGTGATCAGGGTTTAAACTGCCTTGGATATTCGACAGCAGTATGGAGGAAATTTAAGGGTATATTGTGAAAAACTTGTGATTTTAAAGTAGTCCATATTACTGATTTTAAGCACATGTGTTTTAGTGAGCACATGGTAGTCACGTCAATAACCTTAGGTTGTTTTGGTAATTTTTTCATAGTTCTGCAAAATGGATCCAGATGGCTTTGTCCTATTGGATTCCTCATGCACTCTAGTTAGCAAGTATATTAGAATTAATGCAAGGGAGCCCCCCAAAACCCCCACATTTTTGACATTGATGGTAGGGGAAGGTAACAGGTTGTGGTGCAAAATATGAAAGATATGTACTCAGTCACACTGTACTGTCTAATGCAGAGGGCTATGCTCCCTGCCCCCAACTTCCTGAGCCCACCCAGAAAAAGCATATCCTCCATGTTTGCAGCAGGACAGAGCATGTGACCACCATGTGGTTGCAGCATTGCCATGTCCGAAGCTCTCACCTGCTGTGAAGACGGGGAGGATTCTTTTCCTGGGTGGGGGCTGGGGGCAGTAGCCAATACAGTGACTGATTCTCTGTAGATGTTTCATATTACACCTCATAATTTCCTTGGTCCCTTTTTATGCCCTCCCCTGCTATCAGGGCCAAGCTTTCTCTGAGGGGATTGCGGGTTTCCACATAATGACCTACATATTTACATTGTAGACAGCGAGAAAAATCCAATGATGCCCCCCCCCCCACACACACACACACACACAATCTTGAATGGTTCCAGGGAACTTGACAAGTTAGGCTAAAATAAGAATATACAGAGAATTGGTCAATATAGTCAAGTATGGGGCAGTGTTGCCCCTATCCTGTCCTGGACAACAAAGAATAAACCACATTTGTATAGCTGGAAAGAGCATAGGACAGATTCAGCATTGAACATTCTCGCATCTCATACGCACTACCCAGCAGTGAACAGAGGATTGCTTTCTTGGGTGCGAGTTGTTTAATGCAGGGGCTCTGCTTTATTTTGTATATTATAATCTATTTCATGTATATTAATCATATTTTACTGTACAATTTCCCTGGTGTCTTTCATGCCCTCTCCTCGGGGTTTGGGGATTTTCCGCAGCATTATTCCTGTTTGTACACTAGTTGGTGAGAGAAATGCATCCATACCATAAATATCATGATCAGTTATGTGAAGATATCAAAAGCAATTCCTGAGCTTGAGAATTGACCAAGTTCGACTAGGTGGGTTTGTAAACAAAGATGGCAGATGTCATAAAGTAATGCTTAATGTGATTGAACCTGTCAGAATTTGCTCAATTTAAATGTAGCTTGTCCAAGTAAAATGTTTATTTCATCAAACTAAATTGAATTTTGTCTGGAAAGACCTTGTCACAGCCATGTTTGATACATGCATCATATCCTAATATACATTTGATTGGTTCCACCCAGTGATTCCACTCTAATAAGTGATTACATCAGCTTTAGTCTATAGATTCCATGTTTGCATACATGAGTAATGAGGAGGATGATAGGCTGGTTGATTGCCACAAGTGTGAATAACATGTCTACCGAGATGTAGGTCGTTCATATGAACTGAGAACACAGCTCTGAATGCCGCATTATTTATAAATAAGATAATTTAGTACCCATTAAATGAAAATGACTATTGACTGTTGGCATCTAACCTTGCGTTAAAAAGCCAATGCCAAATTTTGGTTAGCTGGCCGTCTGTGCGATGCACAAGCATCTAGCTCCAAGTACATGTTGAAATGGCTGCCTGCGCATGATTCCCATTGTGCCTTGGTTTGGTAGTATGATAGCCATCAATGTATGGTTTTGATTATTGGTAGACTCCAGATAAACATTTTGTTTTATATTGGGAGCTTTTTATTTGGTTTGAATTAGTTTTTGGACATCCATGATGGATTTGATGGATTTCATAATTTGATTGTTCTTCTAATATGAATACGAACTTCAATTTGTTGACAGGGAAGACATACAGTCAATTTTCATGGGGTCTATGGATCAGTTGTACAGCCCAGGAGTTGGCACTCTTCTAGACACAAATGTAGACGATTACAAGGAAAATCCAGCCCCATTGTGCCTTTCTCATTTTGTTACTCATACTCCAACGAGAGTCAACAGCACTGGTAGTAGATTTCATATACAGTTTACCTTTTACTGTGATGGGGCACGGAAGGGAAGTGGTTTCAGAATCATTCAATTCCCCTAGTTTGATGACTGAAGTCCAGGTTACATCAGATGTTTTGGGTTTAGGATATTGGCTTTCCCAAAACCAGTTCTTTGCCAAAACTTTGGATAGAAATTGAAGAACACCCAAAGAATTTGCATATGTATTAGCACTTTTTTTTTTTTTTTTTTAGCAAGGCAAGAAACACCAGCAGTCTTGGCAGACACAGACAAACCTTGACCATGTGTTTTCTTGTAGAGTAAGGGCCTAGATTCCCCCCTTCTTTGACGAAATCTCTGGAGCCTACAAGTTCTTGTCTTGCCAGAATGTGGTGCAGGTTTCTTGGCCTGAGCTCTACTGCTGAATATGCCTTGATGTTGACGACTTCAGTCGTATTTGGCTGTCTAATCTTAAGATGCTAAGTAATTCATCACAGTAAATGTCTTTACACATAGATAGCTCTTAAGGTTTTAGTTACAAATTACCAATGAGTCGATTACTAGTTTTACCGTTATCATCTGTTTACCTTTATCCTTGATTTATAAAAATACTTCAGTTTCTATTACTACTAGTAGTGTCAGTAACATAATGTCTATGATAATACTTTATATTAAAAGTATTTTTAAAAATTATAAAATAAAAAAAGTGGACAAGCACTTGTGGAGCCATCTATATGTAGACCTTCCACTAAACAATACTACAGGGAACTACTCCCCCCCCCCCCCCCCCCAGCAACAGGCCAATGGCCTTCAGTGTACCACACAAAGATATAGAGGTTCAAGTGAATACTTGACCATGACCAGCTTTTAATAGTCTTTCAAAAAATTATTTATTTCTATTTTCATTTAAAATAACTCCCAATTTCCAGTATATAATCTAGAGACTGTGGAGCAGTGCTATATGCCTATTAAGTTACGAAATGGGTATTCCTAAATGGTCAGCACATTGTTTTGCATATTTTAATAGTATTCAGTTTGAGGAAATTGATGTTTACCCATTACTGCCACTGGAAAATGTGTTCACTTTAGTTTTCTTTAGTGGAATGTTGTACACATAGATGGCCCCACAAGTGCTCGGCCACCAAGGAGTTGATTAGTTGACCTCATGAGCTCCTCTGACCTCCCTTGAGTTGCTTGGGAGATTTTTGATTGTCATTAACAGTACATATAGCAATACAGAAAACTTCAGCTGTACCTAGGCAATCGTGCTGGTCAATCTTCAGCAGTACCTAGGCAGTCGTGCTGATGATTTTTTTTTTAGGAGACTGCGCATTACAAGGTTATGAATACCACCTTTGTATATTAGATTGTAAGGCTTCCTCAGCGGGGTTTGGCATGTTTTGAGTATATTTGGGTTTGTCTGAGTGTGAAAATTATTTTTAAATGCCAATAGCAAATCATAGCTTTTTGTTCAGTAATATGTGTAAATGGGATTGCTTTGCCCTCTCCTTGTATCGAGTTCTAAATTTCATTCCAGCACTTCAATGCATTCATGAACTGACTATACTAGTACCATTGTTTCAGCTGTCAAAATTAGCCCAGCTCTTTGATAAGAAGCAAGGAGAAATAAGTGAAACTTGGACTCTATGTAAAAGGCATGCATGCTCATATATTGTGGTAGTGTTTGGTGGATTAATTTTGAGTGACCATTATTGGATGGCCTTAATATTTCTAAGAGTTGCACTTGAACTACTACTTGAATTAAGATGCAGTGCAAGCTGCAGCTATCATGGTCACCTATTTTGTAAGGGTGGATGTGTGACCCTTTCTCAGATCTTTCTAAAGTCTTGAAAAAAAAAATTCTTGTGTATTTTGGTTCTTTTGATCTTTTAATGCCTCCCCCCCCCCCCTGTAGCACAAGTTTTTATATGTAGAAAATCTGATGCCATTGATCATCCTTCCTCCTGCCTCATCCACAGAGGTTCCCCTCCCTTATTGTTGCATTTCCTACTCCATTGGGCCCTTTTGTGTGATAGTTTCTCCTCCCACCTAATGCTCCCTTTATACCCCTTCAAGGATGATCCAAGACTAATGCACCCAGTATCCTTTCCCTGATCCCTAGGACCCCCTTCCATCTTTTCACTCGGATTCACTAAGTAAATGCTTATTAGCTGTTTCAGACCAACAACTTTTGAGATCAATCGAAGCTGAAAATCAAGGGTTAATTGTAGTTGGACACTAAGGAGGCTGAGAACTGACAGTTGTATGTATTTGTATGTAAATAGTAAAAGCACATGACTGACTTGGCAGAAAGATCCAAAGGGATTTGGGCATTAGAGATGACCCAGGAAGTGCCTTAAACACTGTCTCATCTCACTTGCAGCAAAGTAAGAGGTAGAAAGCCAGCAACATTTGAACATTCATAGCTTAAAAAATTGTTTGAGTACAATGCATAGCATGAAGTATGAAGAGATAACAGCATCATTGGGGAAGAGGAGGGGGGGAAATGGTGGGTAAGGCTGTACCACACAGACCAAGTCATTCATGCATATCTTGTTGTCAGAGACTATGCAGAAGATATACTAAATAGTTCAGACAACAGAATTCACATATAACTCGCAGCAGTTCCAGGGTCCAATAGTACCAGATCTCAAATATTACTAACATGAAGTGATAGATCACAAAATACTTTCAGATTATTTTATATATATGTGTGTGTGTTTGTATGTATGTGTGTGTGTGTGTGTATATATATATATATTATATATATATATATATATATATATATATATATATATATATATATATATATATATATATATATATATATATATATATATATATATCAACAACACACTCATACACATACATACATGCACGCACGCACGCACACACACACACTTACACACACGCACATGCACACATGGGCACGCACAAAATTGTCACATGACTAAAAAAAACTAAGTTTGATCTTAGTTATTAGATGCAGTGACTTTCAGAAGGGAAGATGCAGACAGGTTCTTATTTAAGTCCTGTTCAGCTCGATTCCACTTGCAACTGAAAGAAGGAACTTATATGAAATATTTTGGGTGCCTCAGAACAAGAGTTCCTCCAGCATTAGAACCTTCAGCTTAAAATGTGTGCAAGAAAGAGCCTGTCATGTATGATAAGGAACATATTTTCTTTTATGTATAAAGTGTAGAATCCCTTTGACCTTTTACAACAGTCATGTTTAACATAACAGATGGCATTTCAGGTGGATACTGTATGCCATAGAGTACCAGATTTACAAAATCAATACTTTCATTTCGTAACACAAATGAAGCAGGAATCATTATGTATAATTGGCACAGGATGAGGAGAGGATAAAAGGGGAATTGGGATATGGTCTCGAAGGAACTCGCTAGATTTATTACTGTCTTATTCACATTAACAACTTTTGGAGCAACCTATCAGTTTGATAATTAGATATACCACAATCACAACAGTTATCACCTTGAGGTTAATAAGAGTAAAACAAGTCTTTATACAATTAGCAAAGTATACTTTTATATAGTGTAAGTAAAGTTAAGCAGACTTGGTAAACACACACACACAAAATTTATGGGAAGAAGTACCTTTTAAATAACATTCTGTAGTATATATAAGGGGCAGTCAACTCTGGCAAGTGTGTGCATATATTGTGTGTGTGGTGGGGGTAGGGGGTTATTTTACAGGCATTATGTATTGTACTTCAGGTAAGCATTTAGTAGTAAGTCATCACCGTAGTTTCTATTGCCATACTCCTTGAATATTGAAATCTCCAGCTAGGATCTAATGTCTAATTAGTGTGCCATGTTTTTCAGGCCCAAAATCTGTATAGGATTTTATTTTATCCATTTTGATATATGAAAATCAATTTTGCTTGATGCATGTGTCACTCCATTTTCATGGAGCAAAATGTTGATAGCTGTGAGAGGCTAACGTTGAGGAGTTCCTCGTATGTTTAGACAAACTGCACGTAGAGTTTTCTCTAACATCTACAGTTGTTTGCTAAATTTACTTGTGTACTTAACAACCACCCAACACTTGGTGCCTGTCGTACTCCATGTAGGCTGACGGGAACTGTGTTGGGGAGATCAACGTTGCTCTCTTAATCTTTTCTGTTATTTCAGTGCAAAGCTCTTAAGAGGGCAAGATAAGTGTTTGCACTAACACTTTGTCTTCGTGATTTGGCTTTGATGTTGCATGCATGGAGAGAGACACTTGTTTTCGTCAGCACATAATGTTAATTTAATTCCCGTCCTAATATTGACAGGCTGTAAAGTATATTGTAATTTCTTGATTGGTTTTAGAGAAAAGTATCTTTTGATGTTATGATGATCTTGGTATAAAGGAAAGGAAGTTTGACTTGGACAGTTTTCCAAGATCAGTTTTGCATTTAAAGTTCATAGATATATAAGAACTAGGATGTAGTAGATGGCTAAAGATGGTCCATCTTGGTATTACAAAAAAAAAAATTTAGTCCATAGAAATACGTTTTGGACCAGAAAATTAGGCTTAAAAAGAAAAAAAAAAAAAATGGCATGCTAACGAACTGCTTTGGGGAGACTATACCTAAGGGGATTGTCTGCTTTCAGTTTTTTAGATTTCGACCGTTAATTGCGGGGAATATTTTACCTAGAAGACTATTTGTTTTCAAAAAAAGGCATTTTTTCACATCTGTCAATTTTACAAGCACAGGAAAAGATTTAAAAAGCTGTCCACAACATTCCCCAGATCTTTTATTTATCTACAAAATTAGTCATAATACATTTATTTCATACTAAAAATGTGTGCTATGCACAAATATGTAATGTATAGAAATATTGCAATTTTTTTCTTCGTATTGTTTGATTTAGATAAGAAATGATATAGGATATGGTTCTATATGATGTAATCATCTCATTATACAGGTTGGGGTAAAACTGTGCATATGTATAGAAGTATATATAGATAATTTCCGTGTATTCCATGACCTTGTGTTTATAAATATTGTTACTTGTATTTGTTTGTAAATTTTTTTTTTTTTTTTTTTTAGCAGGGTAATTCAAAAAGTTTTGAACAGATTTTGATAAGAATTTTACCAGAGATATGTCTTAGCCAAACTTAATATTCTTAACTCAAAGCTGATAGGAATGGCTTTTATATACAGCTATACAGACAAATATTTTTAGATGTTGAAACATTCCTTATTGAAGCCTATGATATGGAAGGTTTGGTAATTTGAGTTTCAAATTTCTCATTCTAAATTGTCATTACAATTCCAATGGATTCACAGGGTGTTCAATATTAGTTGGCACCCAGCGAAAATTCGCCATCTGTCGGCCTTTCAATTGCCAGGTACTTTTTGCAGGACAGTAAAGAAAAAATCTATTACTTTATTATCTGTCTTGAAGGTTGCATCTTTCAAAATACTTTGCCTCTCACCTTCACACTCGCTTGCCAGGCGGCAATGCCCAGCACACAGTAGACCCCTGCTTGGACTTAGGTAGCCTGCTACTTTGAAAACTTTTGAACATCCCGAGTCATTGGAATTGTGATTTTATTCCTGGGATGGAATATGCCTTGGAATATTCACATAAGTCACACAAAACCAAAAGCAGTTGGAAAATCAGGGATACCAACAGTCTTGTAGCATCAACAACTATATTTCAAAGAGTATCGTCGCTAGTCAGAATGCTTAGCTTGATTTTCTAATATTTTTCTACATAGCTGAATATGCGATGCCCACTTGAGTTGTGGGAGGTTTTCCAGGGCCAGACCTTAGGAAATACTTAGATGACTACACTGACACTGTATATCTTCTCTGAGAAGTAATTGGGATTGATTTTATGGGTGATATTTGGTAGCCTTGATTTTACAAAATCTTGGAAATTTGGTTTATTAACTCACAATTATCATATTTATTACTATCGTTTGCTTACTTTATTTATGTCTGCTCACTAAAAATGGCTTTCATGTATTTAATTTTTTTATTGTATGGTTTTTGTGTGCTCTTATTAGTGTCAGATTGGCATTTTGTGGCTCCTCTATTAAAAGATTTTTATATAATACCTTCTATTCTTGCAGGTGAATGTACCCAGTCCAGACGCACCTTCGCATCAAGTGCAAGAAAGCACCCAGAACCACAAGGTCTCGCAATACAAGAAGTCCAAGGTAGAGTATCCAAATTGTTGTTGTGAGAGTAAACAATTATTTATAGATTTGAAGGGTTGAGTTTGGGTTCAGTTTGACATCATAATGGCAAACTTGAAATTACCAGTATGTGTGTAATACAACAGCTGTATGCTTTAAGAAATTGTGGAATCCACTCTTTGAAGCGCACAATCCTCTTGTAAGGAATATTGCAAAATCAACAGGAATACCAAAATAATGCAAGAGGGTTTGAAACGTTTTATTTTTGAAACTGAGGAGTCCTAAAATTACATTAAGACTTCCTACAATCCTGAAGATTCTATCATATAAAAATTGTGCAAAGAACTGATGTGGGTTACACAATTTCTTCAAGCATACAACTGTAAGTAAATAAGTTTTTGCTTGCAAAAAGAATATTACTTACAAACCATCCACTTCCAGGAACGCAAGTTTGCCCAGGTCTCGCCCGTTACGACGAGGAAGCAGCAGGTCTGTCACGCAACAAAGCCTATCTTCAGAAAGAAGGTAACCTATTTCAGTTGAAGAGCATGGCTGATTTGATTGCAAGCTTTGATAACGTTTGTTTCTTGGTTCCATCAACCAGTAAAAGGCTGAAAGACTGCCTTTTTTATGTTTTTCAACTTCAGAATGTCATAGGCTTAATTTATTTCTTAGGAGTTTAAATACAAGAAAACCAAGAAATTTTGATTTAGAAATTTGGTTCAGTGAAAGATGTGGTTCAGAATTATTTCAGATTTAAAAGCTTTTCAAGGCATCTGTGCACCCAGAAATGTTATGAATATTAGGCTTGCCTAACATATTTGTTTTGATGTCCTTGTTACATTAGTTTGGGTAAGCCATTTCTTTATAAATCTCGTGTCATCAGTGAGGAAATGCTAGAATTGTGATATTCAAGCAAGAACATTTAAACTGTTAACTTCCTTTGTTGGCCCTCATGCACTCACTTACTAAAGTGGATACATCAATTGCTAAAAGTGTTTAACTTAACACTTATGCCACCTTATTGCCTGTGTGGACATGATTTAAGTTTGACATAATATATAATGAATTTATAGGTGTACTTAAAAACACTTTAGAGATTTGTATGTTGAAAGAATAATTGCAAGAAATAAATTGTAAAAAACATTCATCTTGTTGAATAAACAGTGTAGTTAGCTGAATTGAAGGAAGGGAAATGGGTGTCCAACATTTAAGATAGACTAAGTAATCTGTCTAATCACTTAACCCACTAACGTCAAGTGTCCCACAATCTGAGCACACCCACTAACGTCAAGTGTCCCACATATGAGACACAACCCACTAACGTCAAGTGTCCCACATATGAGACACCCGAAAAAATAAACATTTCTGGGCGTCCCGCCAGTGTGACACTGTATTGGGGCTCACGCTCCGGACCAGCCTTGCACACCGATTTTGTAGCTGCCCGGAATCTTTTATTTTCGGCTTCAAAATATACCAGCGTTAATGTATAAAAAACTCACTCTAGTTAGCTACAGAGTTGGTTAATTTTCCTGTGCTAAGCCTCTCCATCTTCCAGGCCAAGACCACCAAGAAGATTGTGCTGAAGATGGAATGCAACAAGTGCAGAATCAAGTCACAGCTCCCCCTTAAGAGATGCAAGCACTTTGAGCTTGGAGGTGACAAGAAGAGGAAGGGACAGATGATCCAGTTCTAAGCTGTGTTTGCCTTTAGTAAAGAAAAAAAAAATCAAGTTCTTGGGTTTCATTTGTTTGTTCCTTTCTTTGTTCTAGCTTACAAGTGCCATAGTAGTGTGTAAAAATAACTTTAATTTTTTACTTTGTTTAGGTGCTGTGAGCATGAGTAGCACATCATACTGCAATTGTGTTCAGTATTTATCCCAGCAGTTGCAAGCAATATAACTAGGATTTCTCCCTTTCTTTTGTTTATGACTTAGTTAAGAAATTTTTTCAAAGTAAATTTGAGATAAAATGAATTGACCAAAATGTGCAATTGATTCCAATTTTTGCATTTCCTATTTTCTGGAATAGGTGACTAATAACTATAACCACTAAAGAAAAGGGAGATATTGAAATTTCTGTGGTTTGTTGCTATTTAGTTACAGTAACGTGATTGTTTATAGAGAAAGGCTACTTATTTTTTTTATATATGATTTATATGTTTTGAGATAAAAGATGTTTGATATGAGACGTATATTACCGAAACAAAGTTGACATTAATTCTATAATGAATGAAGAGGGTACTTGCATGTTGCACCCTTGTTGTAATAGGCCAAACAGGAATTGATGCTGTAATGGTTCTCTACCACCCATAAACGAGTAGGGTCTCATTTCAGTAGACAAGATCTCTTAACACCAAAATGCAGCGATTCTGAGTCTGTGAACTGGCTTTCTCCCCAACATAGATGATTTCACAAGTGCTAGTTACCTCCTTAAACGGTTGGTACCTTTTGTCTCCTATTTGCCCCCAAACCTTGAATTTTCAGGGAAAGTTTTCTGTAACCATTGTTATTGTTTGACACACTAATTGGTCATTATTAATCTATTGAATACACTTGCTATGCTGCCTGCATATGGCCCACAGTCGTCCTAGGACATGGGCTTACTGGAGACGTGACTAGTGAGTGTGGCTTGTAGGCCCGGCCCACATGAACATGTGCAGTGTTCAGACTCCTTGTCTCCTATTTGCAATGTTCTTTTTCTGTTTAACCCTTGATGATGATGCAGTCACGTCAAGGAAAAACCTGAGCAGCTCCCCGGGTGATGTGAACATGCCGTTAACTGGGCAAATTGGCCGCGGCCTAGCTGACACGAACTGCCGTCATGAGCGAAAGCCAGGGTTACGGAAAAGACTCGCCACGAGTGCACAAACCTCTTGGAGTGATTTGATTCATTTGGCACTTAGATAGGGGCTTTAGCATTATTACAATCGATAAACGAATGTGTGGCTTAGGAGACAAGGGCTGAGGCCCAAGGTAGGGGATCATGCCTACCTCCCTCCCAAAACCTTGGAGCCATGGGCATGGTATTCCCTTGGTTAACCCATAGCCGACGGGTGGCATGTACGTACATGCCATGGCTGTTGTGGACTGAAAGACAGGTGGCATCGTGTCATGGAGTTTGTTTTTCCCCGATAGAAGCGGCTTCATTTATATGGTAAAGATTTTGGGCAATGGCACCTATAATAAAGGTAAACTTTCAAAATTTTAATTTTTTAATAAATTATAGCAAAATAAAAGCTTTTAGGTGCTAAATGTCGCTCGCAAACTACCGATAGAGCCGGGCGCAAACGGGAAACTGCCGATGTGTGCCAACAAGCCCGTCCATATGTCCTTACCAAACATTTTTACCCATCAGCACTGGGTTAATTACCTAGCTCTTACCCCTTTTAGGGACCCTGAGGGGTAGACCATTTCTTTTCCTTAGTTTGTTCAGGCTTGCCATAGCCAATAATGAAAATTCTTTACCCTTGATAGAGGCATTAAGGCTTACCCTTTCATCAAATAGCCTATCTGAATTTGATTTTGATGGTTTTCCAGCCCCTGCCCTTTCTTTGACCTCAGCTCCAACCACTGATACTAATGCCCCCTCTTCAACGCTTATTCTAACCATTCCAAAACGCCCACCCAGGTTATTACTCAACCTCTAGGAAGCACCTTCTCTTCATCTCATGCTGCACAGTCCTCTTCAGTGTCTACCCCCTCTTCCCTTATTACTACTATTCATCCTTATTGTTACTTACAGAATTACTCCTCTCCACATCACCCATCTTCCTCTCGCCCTCATCCTTCTACTGCCTCTATCTTTGCAAGTCTTCTGAGTACTCTGGTCGAACAATGTGGGATAGATTCTTTGATTCCCCCCCACAGCCTGCTATTCTGAGAATACCCTTCTCTTTCAGCAGTGCCTCCAGAAACAAGTCCTATACCTACTCACCCTATCCACCAGTCAAATCCGTTTTCCATTCTAAATCCAGATACTCCAATCTCTAGCACTTCCCAGATATCTCCTCCTCACTTTAGTTGTAGTACCAGGCAACCTAAACGTTCCACTCCTCGCTCTCCTACTGCTTCTCTTCCTCAGATATCTATCTCTTCTTATAAGAGAACCTTTGTTTCTCAGTCCTCTTTACCTAACCCCCCCCAGAAACCCTTGAAGACATCCAAAACTCCTACATTTGAAATATTTGCAGATATCCATCCTCCACCCCCCTTCCTCCTACACCCTCCCAACATACCCCACCTCCTCTACCGCTCCTCAGACCCCACCTTCCCTATTGAACCCCTGGATACTACTATTTCACCTACTCCTGATCCTTTATCTCAACCCTCAGTTATCTAATCCCCTACTACTAAGACAACCATATCTACCGTTATGTATTATCCCTATTCCTTTCAGTCAGATACAATGCAATTCAATTAATTGCTCTATCTCCTTAACCTTTCCCAGTTATTAATCACTGCTCTACTTCATTTACTTCCCTCCTTTCCTTTTTTGTTACCATACTTTCCTATAACACCCTCCAATCTTTGACATCTACCACTTTCCCCTCTTCCCAGATTATTCTTCAACAGCTATCTCTATTCTTCCTTGAACACTTTTCCTATACTTTCTCCAGTGACAGATACACTATAATTTATTCAATCACCCTACCACCTTAATCCTCCCCTTTATATTAATTTCTGCTCTAGTTGACTTATTCCCACTCTCAAACCTTTGACATCTAACACATTTGATCTTTAACTCTCCTTTGCCCTTTAACACAATACTTTACCATAGTGCAGTAGGACCTTTGATGTCTAGCACATTTATTTTCAAACTAAACATTAAACATAATGCCTACTTTGCACCTCAGCCCTCGCAACAAACTAATTTCGCTGGTCTTTTCTTCTGAATAGCCTTCATACTCCATTTGCTATTTATTCTACCCTTTTCACTATCGCACTAACAGCGCTCTGTAACCGTTGACATCATAACATTTTGTTCTAATCATTGGCTCATTTTTTACTTTTTTGCCACAATACTATCATAGTGCTGTATGACCTTTCCTTACCTGGGGCTTTGCCCCCAAGCCTCACCCTATTGCTCTATTTCAAACTTTTTCTGGACATCACCCACTTTTCATACAGGATACTTGTCCATGACCCACCACTAGGCATAGACCATAACTACAGTGACTGCAGTCCTACACTCATTAGGTCCATATATAAACCACTCTAGCAGTTCCTGTGATTTTATTGATTCCATGCAAGTTTGTTCTTTTGTGAAGTAGTGATAAAGACATTAGTTTTATACACCCATCATATCCTCAGATTATGGCCCCCTGCATTCTGCTATATGGCCCTCTAGGGGGACAAGGCTCACAGTTTGGGAACCATTGCTCTATTTTATATACACCGCTAATGGCAGGTGTTGACACGGCAGAAAATTTTCAATAAATGAAGTGCCCTCTCTAGAGCCTACACTCTTCCAGTCATGGGTCATGGATGGTACATTCCAGACTCATTTACTAATGATGATAATCTAGGAGCCTCTTCCCAAATGGCCAATAAGACTAATTACCCTCCAAGAGCTTTGTGCATCTGTGATGAGTCATTCCTGTGGCCCCAGACTTGGGCTGTAATTCCCATTATGTCGTCTTCCCATCACCCAGACCCTCGGCTAAATTTTTCCATGTGATGGTCACATAACCTGGATCCATGCTTCTGGAGCCTTCTGTATGCAAACAAAACTACAGTAGCCATTGCACATGTACAGCTGGCCAAATAGATTCACAACCACCCAAAAATTGGATTTTCCATTGGTAATATTATAGTGCATATAATTATAACTACAAACACAGTGGGTAAATAGAAATTATTTTGTAGGTAACTTTTTTGGCAAATTTTGTCTAGTATACGAAGAAACAGACTTCCTATACCCTGAAGTTCAACCCCAGTCACATGGTAGACCACCCTGCAGGATCATTTCATGTGTGGTTGATCCTGCTCAAAAGGCCTGTCCACATAGATGAGCATTAATAGAGATAATGGGACAACAATTTTGGTAAACAAGTAGTTCTTTGCTGTTTTCTCCCTAAAACATCACCTTTACAGTCCCCCCCCCCCTCCATTGTTGTTGTGGGGGCCTTGGGCTTAGGCCCAACATAGGGGATCACACCTGCCTTGGACCTCAGCCCTCACCTTTGAGCATCTGATTGCATGCACCCTGAAAGTTCAGTATGGTACCAGGGACTCGCATTATCATTGGGTCATTCAAATATTTGTACACTTATTAATGCTGCTTACAGCATGAAATTGATAAGTTACATATATAACTGCCTGTAGCCTATTTTTCCTTTTCCCTTTCCATATTTACACCAATTACTATTTTCTTCTTCGTCTGCAGAACAGAAAAAATATGGTCTTCATTGACTTGTGAATTTGCCCTTCTTCAGTCCTTGATGCATTTCATTACAAATACATGAATGTAAATAATAATTTATTAAGAAATCTAAGTTCTGATGTCTTTTAGGTGGCTGTACATTAATTTGACCAACTGTACTTGCAGCCTAGGTATGAACAGCTTCACAAATGAGGGATCAGTAGTGTGCGGCTAATTCCCAGCAGATTCTACCCCTTGTTTGAACAGGGCTTAAAACAGCATTTCCCTCCCCCAATCCCAAGCCTATTGTTATCATGGGGGAATATAGAAATGGACCAGGATCCAAAGTTGGGCATGATATTTGATCATC